AAAAAAAAAAAAAAGAACACTTACTCAAGGCTTCTTGGGCATGGTTATACATATTTTGCTCAGAATAAACCTCTTTAAATTATTTTACAGTTTGTGTTCTTTTTTTTTAACACCTCCTAACATCCCTACTCCATGTTCCACACTGTGGTCTTGTCTGGAGTCTTTCTCTCTTGTTCCTGACCTAAAATGCAGAGGCTCACAGAAGTAATTCTAGAGCTTCAGGCTACATGTGTTAGAAACAACATAATATTTATTAACTTCTAGCTATAGAAGTTTGAGCGACATTAACGTATAATGGATCCATCTGCTTGTTTTGGTGAGCATTCTCTGCATAAGGAAGCCGGAAATATGTTTCTAACATTTCTGTTCTATGTTACAGACTATATTCCCAGCAATATAGGTGTGGCTCCTTTAAGAAGCAGCTCCGCCACGTGCTTGCAGGGGTCCTCAAACTTTTTAAACAGGGGGCCAGTTCACTGTCCCTCAGACGTTGGAGGGACGGACTGCGGGCCCCAGGATGAGTCGGCTGCTAAGCAGGACAGGCAGCGGTAGCAAAAACACCCGTGGGCCGGATAAATGTCCTATGCGGGCTACATGTGGCCCGGGGGCCGTAGCTTGACGACGCCTGGTTCTGGACGTCTTTTCAGGGTATCCCTTGCGGTGTGGCTGGGCCTTTGCCCCGGAGGTCTCGCGGGACTTCTCGCAGGGGCTTTGGTGTGTGAGAACTACATTTCCCAGCAGCCTTCATGGCGCTGGGCCAATTTAAAAAAAAAAGAAAGAAAAGAGTGTTTCCGTTCTTGCGGAAGAGGACGGAGTGGGATTTCCTGTCCCCATTTGAGAGGACATTTTGTTTGCTTTTGGATTATCTTTCAGGTCGGTCTGAACGCAGTGTCAGACGCACAGTAGAGGAAAGGGAAAAAGAGAAGGCGTTGTCTTTCCTGAAGAGAGGCAGGGCTGAGGCTCAGTGGCACTGCCGAGGGACCTGGCTGCTAGGCCGGGCCCTGGACGCCTAATCCCGTGTTTGTGCTTGTACCCTACCCTTGTCCACGGCCCGATGGCGGCAGGCGAGCTGATGGGCCCGGCGCAGGTGGGTGTGTCCCCGGGCTCTCCGTGATCTCTGAATCCTAAAGTGCTCTTTGGGTTACTGCACCCCTGGGCCTCCGTATACCAGGACAGTGGCGCTCGTGCTTGGGTCCCATTTCTGGCAGCCGGAAGATGAGCTGTGGCAGGACGTTACGGGCAGAGGGACCAGCCTGTGCAAGCTAAGGGGCGCGACACAGCCGGAACATTCGGTAAAACAAGGTCTTGGTGCCTGAAAAGGTCAGGGTGTGCAAGATGTCACACTTGGAATGTCAGCCTGAGCAGCTGGGCTTGTATTCAAAGGGTACTAAGAGCCATGGAAAGTTCTGAACAGAAGAGAGACTCGATCTGAGGGCTTAAAAAGTATTCCCTAGAGAGCTCAGGGGAGAACTGACTTGGGTTGGTCATGGGGAGATGATGAGGAAGGTGAGGCATAATAAGATTGAGAACTAATCTGAGATAACCCAGTTAAGGCTGCTGAGTGTAGACAGTCAGCCCCAGGTCACTTTGTAACAGGGTAGGAATATGGGATAGGCCTGAACCTTTGTGGCTCCTTCATGGTTGCTTGCTTTTCACAGTCTCCCTCTTCCCACAGCTTCCCATGATCTCAGAAGTAATCATGGGCCGTATACAGGTGATGGGAGAATGTCCATCCTCTCACTGGTCCCACCCCTGCACATTCTCTAGGATTGTTCTGTCATATAGTATGCTTTTGTGCTACTCTCTGATCCGTTGGGTCTAAGAACCCTGGAGAAACTCTTAAGCCCAAGGGTCCCAAGCCCAGGCCATGGGTTATATAGAAGGGTTTCCCATTTCCAGCAGCCATTGGAATAATGTTGGAAGGTTGCTTCAGGCACAGGAACCAGTCTGTGCAAATATTTGGAGGTGAGACTGAGATTAGGAATTTTCAAGAAACTTCAGGGCTTTACCATGTCTGGTAGGAACCAAGAACAGGGAGGCGGGAGTCTAAAATGACTGGCTGAGGAGACAGACCTCTATTCTGAGGGTGGTTTAACCATATGAAGTGTGGAGCAGAGGAGGGAAGTGTTCTGACCCAAATCTTAATGCCCACCTCTCAATGCCAAGTGGAGAACAGACTGTGTGTTATCATGGAGGCAGGGAGACTGGGGAGGAGGCTACCACAAAATTCCAGATGAATGGAGATAATGGATAGGCTAGAGGAGTGACTGTGTAAATAGAAATGATTGGATCAGATTTACTGATGTGAGAGAGAAAAAAAGGTAACCCCATGGTTTTTGGCTTTATGAGCTACTGCTGTCTTGTCCATTTCTCTCAGCAGCAATAGCCAAGTCAGTAGTAGAAGTAACTTTCATTGTTTCAGTATGGGTATCAAGGGATTATTTGTGGTCATGTTAAGAGTCAGACATCCCAGAGAATACTGAGTGGAGTTGTCAAGTGGCTACAGGTCACATGGAACTGGAATTCTGTAGAGGGGTTCAGGATGAAGATGATTGTGTAGATTGGAGTTTAGGGAAGAGAATATTCACATCACAGTGGTAGTGCAGTTAGTGAGCCAGGAAGATTATAGTAGAGGCCACCGACTGAATGGAGGGCCAGAGTTGTGAGACAAGTGTGATCCCAGAGTGATATACATGTAGAAAAAAGTGGATGATGGCACTGGGCTCAAGGGAGAAAAGTGAGCCCAACTTGAGTTGTCTGGTAAGCATATGATCTTAGCAACCCAAGGGGAATTAGCTGGCAGAAAGGTGTTAGAAGTAACTTTCACTGTGGATATCAAGAGTTTAGCAACTCACAGGTAGGGCCATGTATTCTACTAGGCCTAGAGCTTACATGGTGCCTTCCTGCCCTCCTGCCTATAGTTTCTGTGGGTAGACACAGTGATCAATGAGAGCGGGGGGAGACCATGAGGAGAGAGAAGACACAATTGGCACCTGGTCCTGGTATTTCCTCCAAGGTGAAGATGTAAGAAGGAGGGTGTATAGGAAGATGTGTGGGGATATGTATGGGGGTCCTTGGGAGAGAGGCAGCTCATAGACTGTGTTCTCCCCTTTGTAGCAGGGGCAGGTGAACTTTGAAGATGTGTTCGTGTACTTCTCCGAGGATGAATGGGTGCTCCTTGATGATACCCAGAGGCTCCTGTACCGTGATGTGATGCTGGAGAACTTTGCACTTACGGCCTCTCTGGGTAAGGCCATCATACCACCCCAGTCCTGAACTGGGCCCTACCCTTTCCCCCTTTCCCAGGGTAGACTGTCTTTCTGATATAGGAGCTGTGGGCACTACCTCCTTTCCCAGTTCCTGGAGTAGGTGCTGTGGATATGGGACCTGGAGAGTTATGTGCACTGCTCTCTTCTACTCCTGAGCACTCTGAACAACTGCTGTCCCAAGGGTTTACACAGATGGATCTAGCAGTCAAGTGTCCTACAGTTGGCATAGTAAATGCTAGTCATCTTGTCCTTTTCCTGACTGGATGCCTCTGTCTACATTCATGGCACTTCTGTGACTCATTTTTTGCCCTTCTTTTAGCTGACATTTTCTCTGGCCTTCCTGTGTCAGGAATTGTGTAAGAACCATCATGGTTACTGCTTGCTGAGATCACTGGGTCATTTTTGCAAGACTGTACTTTGAGATTTTTTTTTTTTTTTTTGAGACAGAGCCTCAAGCTATCCCCCTGGGTAGAGTGCCATGGCATCACAGCTCACAGCAACCTCCAACTTCTGGACTCAAGTGAGTCTCCTGCCTCAGCCTCCCAAGTAGCTGGGACCACAGGTGCCTGCCACAACACCCGGCTATTTTTTGGTTGCAGCCGTCATTGTTGTTTGGCAGGCCTGGGCTGGATTTGAACCCGCCACTTTAGGTGTATGTGGCTGGTGCCTTAGCCACTTGAGCCACAGGCACTGAGCCGAGATTATTTTTATAATATTTAGTTTTCTTCTCTGTGGAGTGGGTCACCCAGATCAGTACTTGCCATTCACATCTTGTCTTTCCCTTAGGACATGCATCTTCCATGTCTCATGTAATTGCCTCACTGGAGCTGGGCTGTGATTCCTGGGTACCAGACTGGGTGGATGTGACTCCAGCCATTCCCAGAGAGACTTTAGGTTGGAGTGGCCCTGGTGAGTGGGAACTGGGGAAAGGAGTAATGTTAGGGTTGAGTTCAGATCATTCCATGACCCCTCTGTGAACAGTTTTAGTGCCAAGGCTGCTGGCCACACTTTTAGTCCACTTTTCCATTTACATACTTGCCTTTATACTCTGACCTTTGGCCTCTGGCTACTCTACACTTATGCTCCTGCCTCCGTGTGTCACCCATTGCTCTCCACAGCTCCCTTTGCGGTGCTCTTCAACATGGGCCTATACTTACTGTGTCATGAGATGTACACATAACCCAAAAATGTGGGTTTGTGTACTTCTTAAACACCAGCTACTCAGCAGCAATTTAATGTTTTAGGGCATGGATATACCTTCTGTACAACTTTTACCTGTCCCCGGCAGCAAGGAAATCCAACTGTGAATGATTTTATTGAAGACCCTGCCTCTTTTTCCTGTTCTGTATCCCACATTTGTGTCCTCTCCCAGTCAAGGCCTCCTCCATTCTATGACCTTCAGAAAACAGCTGTTCCACAGCAGACCTGTACTCTACTTGAGCTGCGGCTCCTTGTCCTGACAGCAGTGCTGTGGCTTTGATCTTAGTTGTATTAGACACACATTTGTAATGAGGCTGCCTGTCTCCCACCTGTGTCCACTTTTCACAGGATTTCTCTGCTTTCAGGTTGTCAAGGAATGGAGCCTGAGAAGATATCTTTTGAGCAGACTGTTTCTGTAGAAGGATTGTCACAGATGAGGCCTCCCAAGGGAGACCCTTCTGGGAAGGTTCACTCCTGTGAAACATGTGGTCTGGTCTTGAAAGACATTTTGCACTTGGCTAAGCACCAGGAAACATACCCTGGGCAGAAACCATACATGTGTGTGGCATGTGGGAAACAGTTCTGGTTCACTGCAAACCTTTACCAGCACCAGAAGCAGCACAGTGGAGAGAGACCCTTCAGACAAGGTGAGGGTGGGGGCTTTGTTGTGAGCAGCTGCCCTGTCCAACCATCAGAGATACCTTTTATGGCCCAGGAGAGCTGTAAGGATTTGTCAACAAGTTCAAGCATTTTCCAGCACCATGCCCCTCACAGTGAATGGAAACCACACAGTAATACCAAGAGCGAGGAGATCTTTCATAATGGACAGAGGCATTACAAGTGCAGTGAATGTGGGAAAGCCTTCAGCCGCAAAGACTCACTTGTTCAGCACCAGAGAGTTCACACTGGAGAAAGGCCTTATGAATGTGGTGAATGTGGGAAAACCTTTAGCCGGAAACCTATACTTGCTCAGCATCAGAGAATTCACACTGGAGAAATGCCTTATGAGTGTGGCATATGTGGGAAAGTTTTTAATCATAGCTCTAACCTTATTGTACACCAGAGAGTACATACTGGAGCAAGACCTTACAAGTGCAGTGAATGCGGGAAAGCCTATAGCCACAAATCTACACTTGTTCAGCATGAGAGTATTCACACTGGAGAAAGACCATATGAGTGTAGTGAATGTGGGAAATACTTTGGTCACAAATACAGACTCATTAAACACTGGAGTGTTCACACTGGAGCAAGGCCTTATGAGTGCATTGCATGTGGAAAATTCTTTAGTCAAAGCTCTGACCTTATTGCACACCAAAGAGTGCATAATGGTGAAAAGCCTTATGTGTGCAGTGAATGTGGAAAAGCCTTTAGCCACAAACATGTACTTATTCAACATCATAGAATTCACACTGGAGAAAGGCCATATAAGTGCAGTGAATGTGGGAAGGCCTTTAGGCAAAGGGCTTCCCTCATCCGCCATTGGAAAATTCACACTGGAGAAAGGCCTTAGTATAGGAAATATGCCATCTCTTGTTCAGCATGAATGACCCCACAGAGAAGCATGTAGAGTAACCTTTGTGTGGAGCCATCAGCCAGAAGTTAAACTTTTGACTTTGGAACATGAACTTTGGGAAGATTCCTCTGAATTTCGGCTATGTGGGAAGCATTCTGGAGCTATGTTGCATTTTCTGACCTGTGCAGGACGCTTGCTAGAATTTACACATCATTGCCAGTACCTCTGACAGGAGCCATCTATCTTTGCACTGGCAGAGTCCCACTAGTGTATAGTTCACACCAACGTGATTAACAAGGCAGACCTTTGTACTCTTCCTCCTTACCCTAGAGCAGTGGTTCTCAACTTTCCTAATGTCATGACCCTTTAGTACAGTTCCTATGGGGCATGACCCACAAGTTGAGAACTGCTGCCCTAGAGGGATCATCAGTAGTCTGAGCCCCTCGAAGATTCTCACCCCCCCTTTCCCCTGACTGTTCTAAGCATAAATGCGATGAACATGACTTGGTTTTGGCTAGGAGGATGGGATCTTCCTTCCACTTGCCACTTGTAGAAAATCTTCCCCTTTTTCATGAACATTGTTGGTCTCACATAGCACTTGTGATTTATCCAGCCTCTAGGACATTTAACCTGAAAGTACCTGCCTTTTACTGTTCTGGTTTTGCAACAAATGCCTTAATTTTTAGACTACCTTTAATCTTGGGGTTCACTTTATGGTTTGGATTGAAAACAGAATAAGCTAAGCCAGTATGAAGGGATGACCAGCTTTTGTGAGAGCTGCAGTAATTTGTGTTTCAGGGATGAGAGTAGGATGGCAGAGAACAGCTCTTGTTCTGGTGTCAGCATAACTTGCACTGCTGCTTAAACTCTTGAGGAAGAATACCAGTCTTCATGGGCCCAATCTTGTGGTCTATACACCAAGGTTATTTGAGTAACTGAGGTCACCTTAAGCAGTGGGTGTATGTTGTGACAATCTCCAGTGTATCTGGGAGCAATATAAATTGGGTCCCTTGTTTTCAGAGGATATTTCATATTCCCCAGGCTCTTGAGGAGACTTTGATTTCCTTGGGACCTGCCAAGATCCCTGAAGTTTATTATAAAATAGGGAGATATTACTTGCTGTCTTCCAAAGGCCCAGATAGGAATCATAATTGGTACACAGGCACTGATTTGTAGGAAGTTGGGAAACTGCAGCAAACTCTGGGGAACTGACCCTTCTAAATGTACATCTGAACATTGCCATTACTATGGTTTGTTATAAGGGTTTACATAAATTCTCAGGACTCCTATACCTGTGTCTCTTACAGCTAAGATCGATCAGAGCAGTTAATCTAAATATTTTCTGCAATAAGCTGTACATATTTATAGTATATAGTTTGATAAATTTTGATAGACATTTGTATGTGTAAAACCAAAAATTTCCTGATTTATTTTATAATCTCTCCCTCTCACCTATCCCCACATAACTACTGATCATCTTTTATCACTAGATTTGTTTGCATTTCCTAGAGTTTTATAGAGTAATTTAATATGTACCCTAATGTATTTGATTTCTTTAACTGCATAATTATTTTATGATTCATCTTGTTCTGTCTTGCAGTTCATTTATTTTCATTTGTACTTTTGCTAGAAATAGTCCAGTGTAGAAAAATAGTTCCAAAGCAAATGATCCAGGAGAAAACTCATATAACTAAGCCACAGTGTCTGTCATTAACCTAAACCTGGAACCAATGTGCCCTCATTTCTGATAAATTCTGTAGGTAACTCAGGCTAATCCCAAAAAAGGGTGGAAGGAAGCCACACAAAAGTAAAAATACAAGGAAGCAGGAATTTGTGGGCAATTTTCTTGAATTCTATTGACCATAATCATGTGTTGTTTCTTTTTCTTTACTTTTTTATTTTTTAAGGAGAATTTTATTTATTTATTTATTTATTTTTTATTTTAGAGACAGTTTCACTTTGTTGCCCTTGGTAGAGTGCTATGGTGTCACAGCTCACAGCAAACCTCCAGCTTTTGGGCTTAGGTGATTCTCTTACCTCAGCCTCCCAAGTACCTGGGACTACAGTTGCCCACCACAACGCCCAGCTATTTTTTTGTCGTTCTTGTTGCAGTTTGGCCAGGGCCGGGTTTGAACCTGCCAACCTCGGTATATGTGGCACCCTACCCACTGAGTCACAGGTGCTGCCCTTTCTTTTTTTATTTTTTACTTTTGCAGTTTTTGGCTGTGGCTGGGTTTGAACCTGCCACCTCTGGCATATGGTGCTGGCGCCCTACTACTTTGAGCTATGGGCACCACCCACCTTTCTTTACTTTATTTTTTTTGAGACAGAGCCTCAAGCTGTTGCCCTGGGTAGAGTGCTGTGGCATCACAGCTCACAGCAACCTCCAACTCCTGGGCTCAAGCGAGTCTCCTGCCTCCGCCTCCCAAGTAGCTGGGACTACAGGTGCCGGCCACAATGCCCAGCTATTTTTTGGTTGCAGCCATCATTGTTTGGCAGGCCCAGGTTGGATTCAAACCCACCAGCTCAGGTGTATGTGGCTGGCATCTTAGCCACTTGAGCCACAGGCGCTGAGCCTACTTTTTAAAATTTTCCAATGGTGAATTACATTGACTGATTTTTAAATGTTAAACCAGCCTTGCATTTCTGGGATAATACCTGTTTGGTCATAATGTATTATTTAATGTATTGTTGAATTTTTTTCCCTTTTTTTTTTTTTTCTAGACAGAGTCTTACTTTGTGGTCCTTGGGAGAGTGCCATGGCGTCAGAGCAACCTCAAACTCTTGGGCTTAAGCGATTCTCTTGCCTTAGCCTCCTCAGTAGCTGGGACTATAGGCACCTGCCACATGCCTAGCTATTTTTTGTTGCAGTTGTCATTGTTTAGCTGGCCCAGGCCAGGCTTGAACCCACCAGCTTCCATGCGTGCAGCTGGCGCTGTAACCACTGTGCTATGGGCGCCAAGCCAACTTTTTTTCCTTTTTAAAGATTTTTGTCTCTATGTTCATGAAAAATGTGTCTGATTTTTTTCTTTAATGCCTAGATTTGGCTTTAGTATCAGCATAATACTGGCTTCATAGAGTTGGGAAGTATTCCTTGTTATTCAGCTTTCTGGAAGAGTTTGTGAAGAACTGGTATTGTTTCTTGTTTGAATGTTTCATAGAATTCACCAAGGAAACTATCTGGGATTTGCTTTGTAGGAAAGTTTCTAACTATAATTTCCAGGGTAGATTGAGGACTGTACAAGTTAATATATACATCTGTCCATTTGTCTATTTATCTACCTACCTATTTTTGTCTCTAGAACGAGCTTTCTTTGTCAAGGAGTTTGTCCATTTAATTTAGGTAGTCAAATTTTTCAAAATATACTTAACTATTATTTTAGTTCTTGTCAAAGCCATGTGTTGCCGCCTTTCTTATTCCTGATACTAGTAGCATCTGTACTTTTCTTTTAGTCTTGATCAGTTTAAATCTAGAGGTTTATCAGTTTTACTGATGTTGCTAAATTACTTGATTTAATTAATTTCCCTGTTTGTTTTTTTCCTCTATTATGATCTTTACTAATTACCATCTGATTTTATTGGATTTCATTTCTCTTCTTTTGCGATTTTTAAATATGAAAGCCAGGTCCTTTCATTTGTCATATCATTTGTTTATTTTTATAACACTATTTCTCCAATGATCAGGGTATTATGAATTAATGTCATATACTTTGTTATTTCATTTATTTTTTTCTCAAGAAAATTTATGACCCTCCAAAGCAGAGACCTTCAATAAATTAGTAAAATTGATACACCTCCAGCCATAGCAAAGAAAAAGACAAACTACATGTTAAATATGAGCAAGGAAAGATGGTATAGTCCTAGATAACCTCTGAAACATAATGGATAATGTGTGATTATTTTAAATAGCTCTTTCTCAATAAATTGAAATTTAGAGAGCAAAAGTTTCCTGGAAGATACCAACCACTGAGGCTTACTCAAGAAGAAATAGATAATCTGAAAAATCCTCTGATACTTTAGTATCCAAAGTAAGTATCCTAAGTATCCAAGAATACTTAATTTATATTTCCAGACTTCTGATAGTTCAAATCTGTAACTTTATTTATTTACTTTGAGACAGAACCTCAAGCTGTCCCCCTGGGTAGTGTGCCATGGCATCACAGCTCACAGCAATCTCCAACTCCTAGGTTCAAGCGAGTCTCCTGCCTCAGCCTCCCAAGTAGCTGGGACCACACGCGCCCGCCACAGCGCCTGGCTATTTTTTGGTTGCAGCCGTCATTGTTTTGGCAGGCCCGGGTTGGATTAGAACCCGCCACCTTAGGTGTATGTGGCTGGCACCTTAGCCACTTGAGCCATAGGCGCCGAGCCCATACTGAAAACTTTAGACCAGGATGGATTCACTGATGATTTCTACTAAATACATAATGAAGAGATAATTAATATTCTATCAAACTCCTCCAAAATAGTAACAATGATGGAACACTTCTCAGCTAATTTTGTAAAGCCATTATTGCCCTGCTAGCAAAACCAGGTAGTGATGCTAAAAGAAAACAATAGATCAATATTCGTCAACATAGATGCAAAAAAAACTTTTTAACAAAATTTTAGCAAATTAAATCTGACATATATATAGAAAGAGAGATAAGTTACATCCTAGTGAGATTAGGGACATAAGGTTGGTTCAACAGATGAAAATCTGTTAAGTAGAAGGCATAGTACAATATATCTGAATCTTTTTTCCCAAGCTCCTGTCACACACTGTGAAAAAATTTGAAATTCTTGAGAGGAATGTCTTTTTTAAAAAACTTATGTATTTGTGTATTTTTATATGAGGTTGGACAGTTAAGGTCATGAATTCATCCTAGAAAAAGTGCTATATACATCATTGCTGAATATCACTGAAGTCACCTTCAAAGAATTGATACTCCCCTTAGGAAGCTATAGACCAATGCCACTGCCAAATCCACCCTTCAAAGCAATTTTGGAACTCTGGAATGACCACCACAGCTGTTATATAGCATACAAAAACACACAATAACAATAATGAGTGCCATTCAGCAAGACACTGCTACATAATTAACATGGACACAGCTATGAGACACTGATAATACCAAGGTTATGAAACCTTACTCAACTATTTGTATAGTGCTGCCAATGTAAGGGTATGGTGGCCAAGTTCACACACTTAATTGTCAGACCTCATTGACAGCGGATTGTCATTACAAACAGAGTTCCAAAATTGCTTTGAAGGATGGACTAGGTGCTGGCATCAATAGATAGCTTCTTTTTCTTTCTTTTTTTTTTTTTTTTGAAACAGTCTCT